AGCTTTGGAGGTGGTTTTCGGTGGCGATTTCGAGGGGGATTGAAGGAGAAATCTAAGATAAGGTTAAGGTAAGTGGTTTGCAAGTGTTTCTTTTTTTTTCTTGAGTTTTTATTAAGGGAAGGAAATTAGCGTTTTGAGAAAACTAAATTTTTCTTTGAGTTAAGTTGAGGGAAGAGTTAAGGGATGTTTTTAAACCTAAGAAAGAAATATTTTTCCTAAAAATGTGGATTTTGAAAAAAATAGGGTTTCCTTATATTTTCTTTTCTTTCAATTTGGTTTTAGGATAGTTTTTAAATGACATTAGGAGTCCCATAATAGAAATAATGCATTTTTGTGAAGAAATTTTTGGTTTGGAAATTAGGATTTTTTCCTAATCATAGAATTTTTGAGCTTGAAGGTTTCCATTAGGTTTGGGAAGACTTTTAGAAGCAAATTTAGAACTCTTACATTAAAAACTAATTTTCTTATTTTTGGTATTTAACAATTTCAAAAATAAAATTTAATTTTAAAATGCTAATTGAGAGTAGGGAATGGTGTGTGCTTAAATAGAGATTTAAGAATGTGACTCTTCTATAAAAAAAGCATTTAAGGGGTTTAGATCGGAAGTATGAACATGAATTATGGAGGGGTCCTTTATTACCATAGTACAAGGATTTAGAGAATTTATGTTGGATTAGTGATTTTTACTTGATGCGGGTGTTTCTTTTACGTATTAAACGCGTGGAAAGGAAGAGTTTGTAAGGATAATTGACATATCACATTGTATTAAGGTAGGTAAATGTGGCACTTTTAAATTTAGAAGAAAATTTCAATTCTTTCCACCATAGCATGTTCTATACTGTTGTGAAAATTTTTAGTATTCTTTCAATCATACTACTTTTATATCTTATTATGCTCTAAATTTCATGTACATGTTTCTATAGTTGCCTAATTATATGAACTCATTTGAAAATGGTTTAGAAATAATTGAGCTTATATTTAATATCATACGTAAGTTCTTACTCATGTGTTATCTTACATTGCAAGTACATCTCTTATGTGATAGTATATAATGCATTTGTTTCTTTCGAAAGTGATGCATAAAGAATGTACTTAGCTCATTTCTTTCACCATGCTATCATGAAATCATGTAGCACATTAGGAGACAATTAACTATATGCATGAATAAGGATCTTTTTATGAATAATTAAAGAATGAATGTATGTGCATGTTGATGCGGAGGTATTTTTGGAAAAGGGACTCTTTAAGCCAATGGTTAAGGGGCTCATTTGAGCTAAATGATAAAGGGGTTCTTTTGAACCAAATGGCAAAGGGTTTGGCCAAACAAAATGTACCTAATCAGTATAAAAGATACTTCCGAGACGGGTGATTATAAGAAATATATTACATTATATACATATAAAACATTTTATGATTTATGAAAATAATTCATGTATTGTGTAAAGTGATTGGTTGCAAGCTTAACTGAAGAAAGAGGCTTAATGGTCGACCTAGAGGCATGTTACTTAATTTTTATGATTTGTTTAATGTTCCTACACAAAGTATTGACATACATGTTATTTCCCTCGCCCTATTTTCTCTAAATTTAATTGAAAAAGCATTTGCCTATTGAGTTATGACTCACCCATGTTGTGGAAAATTTTTAGGAGATCCTGTGATTAGATAATGGCAGACCAACCACCGCACACTTACCGTCGTAGGGAGACAATGGGCGGTAGGTTCTTTTGAGTTTTGTTATTTTGATTATAGATGGATGTATGTAAAATTTTTGAGAGAGTTAGATTTGTTTGGATCCCTTCATTTGGAAGAAATCTCTATGTACACGTTTCTTTTAAAAGATGAATGAAAAATGGAAGTTTTTCTTGGAATTACTTTAGTGGCTCTTTCATTATATAGTTGAAGATGTTTGATTTATGTTAAATCTTTTGATGTTATGTTATGAAGGCTTATTTCTTCCTGTCCGACCTCTGTTCCTGCCTCGCCTATGCGAGCTTACAGGGCTGGGTCGTGGCAGTTTATTGATTCCTTGTCTAAGTGATGATCAGGAGTTCTGCGATTTCTACGTTTCCGACTAAAACTTCTCCCTTTATTAGGATGTGTCTTAGGGTCCACAACAGAGGTGATCCTAGTTTCAGCAGTAGCTGGCTTGGACGGACATAATGAAGAATAATGGATTAAAGACTTATAGTGCAAATATGGAGAGGACCTCCATTCCTACTGCACTTTTAATCGGATAATATCCACATCAAGCGAAATAGCAATATGTTTTAGATATTTGGCCTCATTGTCAATGAGCACACAGACTCTAACAAACGTTAACAGAGTCCTTTGAATGGTTAAGTTATCAGCCGCCAGTGGGATTTCGACTTTGCTTGCGATTCTGGATATGCCCTCTGAATTCCAGCATGCAAGCGATAGATCGTGGATCTTAATCCAAACCGGAACATAGGAGAAATTTTCTCTCTTGGGTTTAAATTTGGGGTGCCATTTCTGGAGGATAAAAGGTTTACCTAAGAGAAACCATACGCCTCTAGACCAGATCATTTTATAATTTCAGAACAAGTGAAGCGAAGCAAAAAGAATCCATCGTTGAGGGAGATTAGTTGCAGCAAACCTTTAAGAGCCC